TAGTAATGGTTCTAAAGCGAGGGCGCTCAGGGGGGGGAGGGCATTGCTAATGGCGAGCTGAGCAAGGGCATCGCGGGAAAGCCAGACAGAGCGGGCAAGGGCAGCGGCGGCAGTGGACTCGTGCTCAGCGGGCGTGGGATCAGCGGGCAGCACAGCAGGGGGGTCAGGGCAGGGGAGCATACCGTCTAGGTGTGCAGAAAGCGGGTGGCCGTCCTGTCGCTGACCAGTGAGGTGGCGGCGAAGGTCAGCCAACCACGCCTCGAACTCCAGAGGCTGACCCTCAGCATCAAAACGAAGCTCAGCAACCATCAGGGGCAGTGTAGGACAGTGGAGTGCGGTGTAGTGCTGTGCAGTGCGGTGCAGGGCGGTGCAGTGCGGTGCAGTGCGATGCAGTGCGGTGCAGTGCGGTCCAGTGCGGTGCAGTGCGATGCAGTGCGGTCCAGTGCGGTGCAGTGCGGTGCAGTGCGGTCCAGTGAGGTGCAATGCGGTGCAAGGCGGGGCAGGAAAGTGCAGGAGGGTGCAAAGCGGTGCGGGGAACGGGGGACAGTACCAGGAAGTATGGAGGGCCGGGGCAGGCGCGACGGGACCGGGCAGGCGCGACGGGGCCGGGCAGGCGCGTCGAGGGGCCGGGCGGCTGCGACGGGGCCGGGCGGCAGCGACGAGGCCGGGCGGCTGCGACGGGGCCGGGCGGCTGCGACGGGGCCGGCGGCAGCGACAAGGCCGGGCGGCTGCGACGGGGCCGGGCGGCTGCGACGGGGCCGGGCGGCTGCGACGGGGCCGGGCGGCAGCGACAAGGCCGGGCGGCAGCGACGGGGCCGGGCAGGACACAGCAGGGCCGGGCGGGGGCGACGGGGCCGGGCGGGCGTGACGGGGCCGGGCCGGTGCGCCAGGGGCCGGGCGGCTGCGACAGGGGCCAGGCGGGCGCCACGGGGCCGAGCGGCCGCGACGGGGCCGAGCTGGGGCGACGGGGCCGAGCAGGGGCGACGGGGCCGAGCAGGGGCGACGGGGCCCAGGAGGGGCACGACAGGGCCCAGGAGGGGCACGACAGGGCCCTGGAGGGGCGCGAAGGGGGGGGCCCAGGAGGGGCGCGACGGGGCCCAGGGAGGAGCGCGGCAAGGCCCAGGAGGGGCGCTAAGGGGCCCAGGAGGGGCGCGACGGGGCCCAGGGAGGGGCGCGACGGGGGCCTGGGAGGGGCGCTACCAAGTCCAGGAGGGGCGCGACAAAGCCCTGGAAGGGGCGCGACGAGGCCCCAGAAGGGGCGCGACGGGGCTAGGGGGGGGGGTCGCGACTGGGCTCAGGAGGGGCGAGGCTAGGCTAGGAGACGCGACGGGAGGGGCGGAAGCGGTAGGGGGGGGGGGGGGGGGGGGGGGGGTCGAAACCTACGCGTGATACCATCTCAAAAAACTAGAATTGAATGATCATAGAGTTAGAGAGTACATGCACATATACCTAAATGTTGTACCCTTTAGGAGGTTACCCTATACAGTCTATACAAACATGATCAATAAACATGTTTGACACAGTAGTGTTGTATGCGAGCTATTGATTTATAATTGACGAAGTTCTTCTTGTCTTCGCAGTTATGATTTATAGCGTAGCACATTCGTGCAACGTGGATTTCATCCCCAATCGGAGATGGAAGCTCAAATTGGCAGAAGTCAAACACCGAATTCGAATTTCGAAATCAGTGCCCATATTTTCTCCTCAGCCCCTGGAGTCATGCACATGGAATTCTCCATTTCATGCCAAGTCTTCTCGTGCTGCGCAAGCCAAGATCAGTCGACTCAAACCGAGACCGACTCACACCTGCTTCCAGCATAAACGTGGGCCGATAAGCAGAGGTCCAGGGCTGCTTTACCATCGATATTCAGCCGCCTCCGTTGGCCGTCGCTAGTCGCCAGGTTAGTTATTTGCCACAGGCCTTCCGGTCATCCACCGAGTAGCGAGTTCCTTCCTTTGTCCCACCATCTCGCTTCACCGTGTGTTGGTTACGCACGGAAATGGCTTCAGCTGCAGGATGCGGCTCCTCCGCATTGGTCGACCTGTACGTAAACCCTCCTCGTTTGCCAGGCTGCGAGTCGGCAGAAATGCAATTCTTGTAACAGAAATCTAACATCGTTTTTGAACCGTTCGACACCGCACTTTCTCCCAGTACAGCGCTCTTACCTCCCTATTATTGCGGCAGCAGGAAATACGAAGCTCATGCCGTCCCTGACGCCGTCTCACTCGGGCAGAGCGACGTAGACGGGATATTCGACACCATGAAGGCCGTTTTCCCCGAGCTCCTCGACATGGAAGAAGTGTCGTCCGCGCTTATAAACCTCGGGGTTGCCGACTCCGACTCGGCGCTTTAATATGGCAGCGCCTCCGGCGGAGGACGTTGCTATGGTTGAGAATAGCAAGTAGGAGTTGTTCTCTGCTAGAAAGCATGAGTTTCCAAGCAGGAATTCACTAGAAATTGTGATACATTTCAAGTGCAACTCACCCCTATTTAAACAGACGAGAACAAACGAGCAAACAAGGTAGAAGCATTTCGCGCTTCGGTATTTGCTGCGGTCCGCGTTGAAGGAAGTTGACCTCAGCTTCGTAACCGAGTGGTGCACCGAAATTCGGTACTCTGTCGCTTGCTTGTCGAATGCGCACCGGTTGTAGTTGGATGGTTGGATAGGAGTGGCAAAATCTGATTGGTTCCACCTGTTTGGGACTAGGGGAGGTGCACCAAAGTTTCTTGGTGCTTCACCACTCTCTAGGGAGGTGTACCAAGGTCAACTCGCCCTTTGACCACCTCCAACCACTTTACTTGGTCCTGATTGGACCCCAATCTCAAAGGACCCCACAAATTTGTCACTCTAGGTTGGTGGTCAAGCACCACCCAATTTCGACCAATCTGATCGGTTGAAATTGCCTAGAGGCGAATTTCGCCCAACACCATTTTACTCCCACGAAATCCCACTGGACTCCCGCGATAACTCATGAGAACTCACGAGAACTCACCAAACTCTCCAAACTCTCGTGAGAACTCACTAAGCTCTCGTGAGAGCTCACTAAACTCTCGCTAAATAACCTCGCCTCACTGAATCTTCCGAAATCTCGCGAACTCTCGCGAACACTCACTGAAGTTCAAGCATATAACTAAATCACGCGAAATCCTCTCAAACACTCGCCAAATCTCACGAGTCAAATTTTCCGCCACAAACAAACCACTCTAACAGGCGCGCCTGTCGGACAGAACTGGGGAAAACGGCATACCTTTGCAAAGACTCCTCGAATAACGCGAGAAGAGTGCCGGATCGAACCGGCCAATCTGACTCGGAAAATACCGGTGCGCCTCGTCAGTGCCGTATTTTCCCTCCGTATGTCTCGCAACCGTTTACAGAGTGTTTCGTTATCTCAATTTCCTGCACAATGCTCCGTCGCAAAGTTGGCCAACCCGTACGTGTCTTTATCCTTACGATGCTATACCAATTTCACAGGATCCACAACTTATCACGGGAATAATCACAGCACCATGTCGGGGACAAAATCAGGCGAGTCGACCCTCGACGAGCTACTTTCGTCGCGCAACGTCACAGCACCACAGGCGAACGCGACAGATGCCGCCGCGGCGTATTTTGGTACACTTCCCCCGGCAGCCACAACGACTTCGGAAACGGCCTCGGTAGTAGATGATCCGATAGGCGAATACACAGGAAGCGGCACTGCCAGTGAGCAGGGCGAGAGCACGTGCGCTCATGCTGACACCGCGTCAGCAGAGCCTGATGGCGCGATTGCTCCGCTAGTAGTGGGAAACTTCGCTGACGCGTACAGCAGCAGATTAACTAAGCCGACTCGGACTAGTAAGGATGGTTTCCCCACGTGGGCGCGGAAGGGCCGAGCTGTGCGGCGACGAAAATCAAAGCAAGGGCTCGTGCTAATACTAGTAGTACTAATAACGCGTATAGCAGAAGCAACGCTAATGCTGAAGCGTCGTCACCAGCGGCTGCCGTTCCACTAGAGTGGCTGGGTTCATTTCCCAATGTGGGCCAAGAAGGGCCGTGCTCGGCGGCGGGTGCTGCAGGGAGGGAGTGCAGCAGCTAGCGCTGCGCCCACGGTGTGTGTGCACGCAGAGGAGGGGAGTGGCGTGGATGAGGAGGGGAGCCTATTGGATGGGGAGGAGTTATCTGGGCGGATTGAGCCAGACTTGGAGGGATGCAGCAGGGAGATGGTGACCGCACAGAATGCCAGCGATAGTAGAAGAAGCAGCTGCTCATGTAAACAGGCTAGCGGTGCTCAGGCATGGGAAGGGGAACTTGTAGTAGTGACTAGGTCTGGAAGACAGGTGAGAACTCCTAGGACATTTGTCACTCTTTGAAACACAATTGATCAATGTGAAATCGGGACACTTGAATGGAATTTTGTATCGGTATGTGATGGTTTGCAAACGCAACATGACTTCAATGTGCGTGCTTGGAGTAACTCATTGAATAATTCTGGAGAGAGAATATTGCGCACCATCTGCAATTTCTGGTAGAATGCTTTTCGATGGCAGGCATGCGATAACTTAGTGAACAAATATTCTGGTAATGTTCATTGTACGTTTCCATTTGGTTTGTGGTGAAGGAAGCAGTTATCTGTGGTATGTGTACATTCTCGCTAGCTACCAGTCACGTGGATGGATTATCCTTGAGAAGCTGTCGTTCGAGTGGGAGGAGTCAAAACTCCCCATTCTCTATCCAACACGTGGCAGGCCATCACCTGCTGGCCGTCCATCCATGAGATGAATTGTGCAGTCCATCGCGCGCCCCTCACCAAAGCCACCAAAACCCAACCTCCCCGCGTTGACCGCCAATCTAAGGAAAATTCATCGCATGCTGGACTCCCGCACCGCGTTTCGGCCCGAACGCATCTGGCCCGCCTCTGAAATTCGCGGTCGTTTCTCCTGGCCGCTCCACATCGCAAATCTCAGAGAATCGTTCAGCCCATATAAATTCCTACCCTAGTACTCTTGCAGTTGAGATGTTGCTTCTACGACAGAGAGAGTGTCCTCTCTCTATAGGGGTCCTCCTGTTTCCAGAAAGCGGCCACCTTTTGCTCGACACGCCGACTTTCTCTGGCAAACCAGGGAGCTTTGTAAGTCGCAGGGATGGCGATCGTAAGTCTTGCCTCTCGGGGCACCATGTTGCTATCCTCCTCCCCCCAATCTAGCACCAATGCGCGCGCCGCTGCTCCGCAGCAGTGGGACGAGGGCTCCCTCCGCCGCGTCTCTCTGCGCAAGGCCCCGCGCGCGCAGCCCCACGCGGCGAAGCGTGCGCAAGTGGCGGAGCGCAAGGGGCGGAAGGGGCCGCTGGTGGTGAAAGCGCTGGTGGACATCAGCTCGATCGACGAGATCAAGTTCGACTCGCTGGTTCGGCGCCGCGTCGTCTTCGGCCACGACGAATGGAAGGTCCGTCGCCTCTCTAGCCCGTGTTTCCGGCCTTATCCCGTGTCTCTAGCCTTAGTTTCCGTCATTGACTGCCTCGGATCTTGTTTTGTTACACGTCTTGGGTCTCGTCCTCCTTCCGCCATCCCCCCTTCCCCGCCTCTTCCTCCCCCCCTCCTCCCCTCTCCCCCGTTCCTTCCCCTTTAAACATTGCGCAGAAGCACAAGTCGAGCGGCCGCTACTTCCGCCACATCAAGACCATCCTCACCTCCAAGGTCATCGGCGCGCTCGGGCCGCCCGTCGGCGTCATGACCGGGATCGCCGCCGCGATTTGCGGGTGGAACGAGCTCACCGCGGCCGGCGCTCTCCCCGAATGGGCCCCCATTCTCCACATCTCCAATCTCCCCTTCAGTCTCACCGCTCCGGCGCTCTCTTTCCTCCTGGTTTTCCGGACGAATTCGAGCTACGGGCGGTTCGACGAGGCGCGCAAGATGTGGGGGCTCATGCTGAATCGCTCGCGCGACATCACGCGACAGGCGCTGTCGTACATGGCGCGCGACGCGCACACGTACGAGTACCCGAAGCGGGCGCAGTTTATTCGGCACATGCAGGCATTCCCGCTGGCGTACAAGCACCACTTCCTGCAGGAAGGGTCGCTGGAAGAGGATCTCCGGGTGAGTAGCGATCGGGCGACATAATGGCTTTTAGTTGAACCGCCTTGGAATGTGTTCTCCCTGGCAGCACCACTTCCTGCAGGAGGGATCGCTGGAGGAAGATCTTCGGGTGAGTTGCGCGATCGGGCGACATAGTCGCTTTTGAGTGGGGACGTGTCGAAAGGCGCCCCCGTACAAGCACCACGTCCTGCAGGAAGGATCGCTGGAAGAAGATCTCCGGGTGAGTTGCGAGAGATGCGTGCGGGTAACGACTATTGAGAGCTGAAGGACGATAAGGAAATGGTGACCTGTCACAGATTACTAGTGAGGAAATAAATAATAAACAACATCGCTTATTTCTCCTTCCCCCTCCCCGGTCTCGTTCTCCCCATTCCGCCTCTCCTTTCCCGCGCTCGCGTTCCCCCGGGCCAGCAATTCACGACGCTGACCGACGCGGAGATTCAGGGCGTGCTGGGCGCGACGCATCGGCCCAACTACGTGCTGCTGGTGATGTCCGAGTGCATGCGCCAGTGCACCATGGAACCCGCGCACCGCCTCGCTATGGTATGTTTCGTTGAACGCGCTGGATCAAACATCATTAACCTTTCCGCCAGCCAAATCCACACTAAGTTACAAGGTCTCTCTTCCAAAATTCGCGCTTTCAGGAGGCCAACTTCGCCACGTTCGCTGATGACGTGGGAGGCAGCGAGAGGCTGTTCAAAACGCCAATCCCGCTCTCGTACACGCGCCTCACCTCGAGATTCCTCGTGCTCTACCACATGTTCCTCCCGCTCGCGCTCTGGGATCCCCTCGGCTGGCTGACGGTCCCGGTGACCGCCATGTGCGCGGGGGTGTTTTTCTGCATCGAGGAGGTCGGCGTGATCATCGAGAACCCGTTCCCAATTCTCGCCCTCGATGTCATCGCGCAATCGGCGCGCAACAACGCCGCGGTACGCACCATTCCCCCAATCATCCTCTCCACTTCCCCCGCGGTACGAACCATTCCTCACAACCATCTGCCCCCTTCCCCCCTCTCCCTCTCCCCACCCCCTTCACCCCTCTCTTCCCTTCTTCCCCCTTCCACATTCCGATCCCTCTGATTGGGTTCTCCACCTCATTTTGCAACTAATCTCCTTTCCATCGGCTGCTAATTCTCCTTTCCATTGTTCTCCTCAATCCGTCAGTGCCGCTAGCTCCCTCCCATATCCTCACCTTCATTCAAGTCCACGTGGCTGCGTGCAGGAGCTCGTGGCACTCCACGGGGGCATTCGCGAGCTGGTCGTGCGCGACGACCAGAAGCTGAGGCAGCTCTGGATCGTCTCGCAGCAGGCCCGTCCATCTGACCCACTGAAGCGCTAATCTTTCGGCTCTTCCTTCCTTGCGTGTTTTCTTCCTTGCAACAGGAGATGGTGGCTCTCCACGAGGGTATTCGCGAGCTGGTGGTGGGCGACGACCAGGAGATGAAGCAACTCTCGGTCGTCTCACAGCAGGCGCTGCTGCCCGCGGAGCCTGCATTCGTTGCCGAGCCTGAACCCGACTACTCGTCGGAGTGGGACGAGGATGTCGCGGCTCTCGTCACTCCGAATTCGCGTTAGTATCTAACGGGCTGGTCCTGGCTTATATGTGACCTCCAACAATATGGACCCTTTTGAAGCACAGAACTGAGCTTGTTCAGTCCCGAATTGTAGTCGCTAGGCGATACGGTAATGTATATTGTGTCTGTAGATCCTTCCTAATCGAAGTTGTACCGACGTCAGTCATAATTCAAGCCCTCACCGCACGTAGCACCCTGCAAGCAGTGGTGTAAATTGTCTAACTTGTTGGATGCAGAAGTGGATAATGTGCAAGTGAACTTGGTTGAATGGTGATGGGCTATGCACTAAACCAAAGTGCTTAGAGCGTGTTCCTACGAGCCTCTTCCCAGGCAACCTCTTCCCAGACTCACGCGCGATCTTTAGAGCGTGTCCCCAGGACCACTTTTCGGAAACTTCCGTTTCATATTTGCGTTCCATCGCTCTTAACCACATGAAACCAGCTGGCGTCGAAAATTTACTGTGCAGATTCGCGCTTGTCTGAAAATCTGCTTGTCTGAAAAAAGGTTTTAAAAAATACCCCTGAAACTCGGAAGCCGAATCTCACTTCGCACTTCGCGAAATCATACTAAACATTTCTCGTCAAAATTTGCGACACTGTAGCACGCGAGTCTGGGAAGAGGTTGCTTGGGAAGAGGCTTGCAGGAACAAGCTCTTAGCACGTGTCCCTCGCATACGTTTGATTGCGGTTGGATGGGATGCTTTTTAATTCAAAATGTTTAAAAGCGGTCCAAAACGGTTGAGAACGGTATTGAGCCAGAAAAACCACAGGACATAACTCTGCTGCATAGTTGGACATGGCTCGGATTTCATACCTCGGTATCCACTGCGATGTTCTTTCAATAGCACTCCAGTCCAGAGGAAGAACTCAAACAAGGTTTCCAACACAACAAACACCATCAACATTCCAGCAATGTTTCTAGAACATGGTGAGAATATGAGCTCCTGATCCTCATTTAGGCGACCAGGGTGCTGGCAGTGCCGGACTCGCTGCACGGCAGCACCAGGGGGGTGGCACGGAAGAGAGAGGGGCGACAGGGAAGAGGATGCATCAGGGCGGGAGTGCAGGATGGATGGTGCGGGTTGGGGAGAGTGTATGCCAAACGAAGAAGGGTCAGGGCTTGGGGGGGGAGGGAAGGGTGTAAGTGGAAAGGTGGGGGCGAGGAGGTATGGGGGGGAAGGGGGGGGGGGGGGGGGGGGGTGGGGGGGAGGAGATAGGATGACGATGCTTGAATTTAATTGAAAGCACATGAAGCATATTTTTCCGGAAGACCCTTCCCCAGCCACTCACTGCTTCCAGTTAAGCGGCAGCTTTTTGGTCCAACTGTCACAACCGGGGATCTGGATGAGACTGAATCCGAAGAGCCAGGCAACTAGACAATCCATGCAAAGATCTACCCCGTAAAACCCCTAACCTCGACCCCGCCCGCTTCCCGCTTCTCCCGCTCTATAACTCACTACTTCCAGCTGGGCGGCAGCTTCTTGCTCCACTTGTAGTAGCGCGAGAGGTGCTCTCAGTGTGCACCCTACAGGCATTCTCAATTCATATAATCAGCCGATATCCTTTGTAAGACACATATACTCACTACTTCCAGTTGGGCGGCAGCTTCTTGGTCCACTTGTAGTAGCGCGCGAGGCGGTGCACGCGGCTCTCGATGAGAATGAGGCGGAACTTGGAGTCCTTGTCCTTGCGGTTGCGCTCCAAGTGCTTGCGCACCGCCAGCGCCTTCTTGATCAGATGGTACAGATCCTCGGGGATCTCGGGGGCGAGACCTGAGCGGAGGGGAAGGGGAGGGGGGAGGCGACGGAACGAGGTGAGGGGGGAGGGGGGAAGGGGTGGAGGAGGGGGGGGGGGGGGGGGGGGGTGAAGGGGCAGGAAAAGGAGGAGAGCATAGCCTTCTTGAATAGATAATATGAAAACTCGGGGATATCGGGCGTCAGGCCCACGACACGTAGAGGAAAACGATAGTTAGATATTCGGAAAGGAGGAGGTACGAAAGAGGAAGAATGCGGAGTAAAGAGACGGGCGATGGGGGAAGGAAGTCCAGGGGAAGATGCAAATCTTGAAAAAAACGCAGAAGAGCACAGAGAACTTGAAGAACGAGCGCTACGGAGGGATGGAGTAACACATACCGATAACGCCCTCTGACCACTCACTGCTCCGGCCATGAGGCCCGCAGTGAAGCTTACAGAAAGGGACGTTGGGACTTTCGAGGGGGGTCTACCCCAGCAGAAGAGAATGGAGAGGTCAGGTACCGTGAGCCTTGAGGATGCGGAGGACCTTGCTGCCGGTGACGCCGGACACCTGGGCAATGCCGTGCGAGTCACGAAGAATGACGCCGATCTGCGACGGCGTCAGACCCTTCTTCGCGAGCTTGCAGATGTGCTCGTCGACCTGCAATGGTATAAATATTTTGAAAACAAACAAACAAAAAACGTTGTGAAACTCGAGTGAGAGTTGGAAGTGAAAACGCAATATGCAGACCCTTAATCGCGAGCTGGCAGATGCGATAAGACCAGAAAGTCATGCGACGGGCATAGAACTTGAGAAAGCGATCTGATATGGAGAGACAGCACGCCGTTGAAAGGTATCTATCCGAGGACTTTGCATGAGAGAATCTAAGGCCGAAAACCTAAAGGGAAAACCGCGACTTCAAGAGCATCCTAAACCAATCGCCGTATGCCGTTTAATATCCCCGACGACATTGAACGCCGCTGGAAGTTTCTCATGACGACGGAATGTGCAGCTGACGTATGGCACCAATGAACTAGTGTAATGATAAGTTACGGGAACTGTGGAGTTAACGAAACTACTTATAAAAGTACGTGCCTCGGGGGCGGAGATCTTCAACCAGCTCGGAGGAGTGCGCTTGTAGGGCAGGGCGGAGCGCGAAATACCCTTTCTGCACTCAGCCGAAACCAAAACGAACAGCCCAGAGAGAGCAGAGAGCAGCAGCGAGAGCAGCGAGCGCAAACAACAGGCGTCAGTGTGGCTGCCTTATAGCCTGACACGCGGACGTTGCCAAAACGCCTAACGAGAGTAGGTAGTCGGAACATAACAAAGACGCCTAACGAGGGGAGGTAGTACTGACCCGTGACTGTGCATACGACCCATGGCTGCGGCTGTTTAGGGGACTGCCCACAAGGCGAGGAGGAGATGAGAAAACTGGAGCTACGGAAAAGGGGGAAACACTTCGCTGTTGCGGGCAAAATAGGCTGGCAGGAGTGAAGGGAGGAGACTGAGATTGCTGTGTGAGGTAAGGGAGAGGAAGGGAGGAGGGGAGGAGACGATGGGGGGAGCGAGGATGTATGGGCGGGGAAGGAAGGAGGGGGTTTTGGGAAAGCTATAACCGCGGGATGCTTGATCCAACGGACAGCGTTTGTGCGTGAGCAGGTGAAGGGTTTTAGGATTTCTTGGTTCCCGAGGATAAAGTGCAGCTGCTGTAGATTTCGGTTGTACAAAACTTGAGCTAATAAGCTTTGTAATTGTGAAAGAAGTGGTTTATGTCTCCATGCAAATTGAGTGTTTCTGCACTAGTTGTCCACCCGTGATATGCGGCGACCAGCCACGTTGTGAGATGAGGGACCATAATTGGACCATTATTGAACCCACTGAAAGCTCGCGCCGCCGCATCATGCGGATCACGAATTGAAAACCACGATGCGCAACTATAAGGGCAAAGTAAGACCGCGTGTCAGGCGGTCGGTACAGCCCTACCTAACACCTGGAAGCACATACTCTTCAAGTGAAAGAATGACTAGAACAAGACATCCAGGGGAATAAAACATAATGGGTTGTACTCCCTAAGGCACAAGCCTATATAGTCTACAGAAACATACAACATATGTTTGACACACCCCCTAGACTGGATAGGGGCAATGCCCGATGAGAGAGAAACAGCTCAGGGTGGCACTACTAGTCCAACCTCTGAGGCAGGGGTCTAAAGACCAGTCAAACAAGTACAGGCAAGGCAAGAGTAAGACCAGAGTGGCACTACTAGTCCAGGCACTGGGAAGAGGCCACAAGGCCAGTCAAGATAGTATATATATAAAGGTCTGTACACTATCAAGGTCCTAGCAAGTGAGAGGCTATAGAAACAAGACCTAGCTGTACACAGTGCCGCTGATGATCTTTAGGTGCAAGCGCCTTAGAAAAGATATCAGCTGTGTTGGCACCTTAGGCCTAGTGTACTACACGAGCCTGGCGACGCTGCTGCAGCTCGCGCAGAAGGAAGTACCGCAGCCGGATGTGCTTCGCTCTGCCCTCAAGTCATGGCTCCTGACACCGGAGGATCATGGCCCTGTTGTCAGCGTACAGAACCGGGGCAGAGCCAGGCCGCTCACCCAAGTCGGTGAGCAAGAAGGTCAGCCAGTGGAGCTCCTGTGCCGCCATGGCACCTGCGTAGATCTCAGCCTCACAGCTAGACTAGGCAACAGACGAGGAACGAGTGGACCTCCACGAGATGGCACCTGCACCAAGGCTAAAAGAATAGCCATGTGAGGACCTCAGAGTCTCGGCGTCGTCTGCCCAAGAAGCGTCTGTGTGCCCGGTAAGGACCACTGGTCTCCGTCCTCCAAGCACTAGCCCCATGCCCGATGTACTTGCTAGATAACGCAAAACCCACTTAGCTACCAACCAGTGCTGTGGTCGGTCTCTGCCTGGGGCCACAAAGCGAGGTAGGATGCTGAGAGGGTATGCGAGATCTGGACGAGTGCAAGTCATCAGGTACATGAGGCAACCCACCAGCTTTGCATAGATACCACTAGGCTCTACAGCTTCCTCAGGGACTCGGGCAGAGAGTCTGTGGTCTACTGACAGAGGGGTGGGCTATGCGGAAGAGAACTGAAGGCCGAACCTTTGAAGGACCTGGCGCACCAAGTGTGACTGTGTGAGAGTGATGGTGCGTGCTGCTCTGTCCCTGGAGATCTGCAAGCCAAGGTAACGGCGCAGCTCTCCTAAGGCTGTGGAGAAGTCGAGGGAGTGCAGCTCGTAGTCACGCTGTACGACTACGAGTAGAAGCGCCCAAAGAGTGGTCATCTTCGGGGTCGGGGCGAAGGTCTGAAAGAAGTCTACACCCTCACGCTGACTGAAACCTCGAGCCACGTAGCGCGCCTTGAACACAGCAGCTCTCCAGGAGGGCGCTTCACCTTGAAGAGCCACCGGCCATCGAATACGTTCACCCCAGGTGGGGGAACTGCGTCGACGAAGGTACCGATGGATCTCCAAGATGCCATCTTTTGCTCCAAGGCAGCTATCCACTGAGAGGCCTAGGGTCCCGAGGTGGCCTCAGCGTAGGTGCGAGGGGTCGAGATGTCGAGGGCGTCTGGGTCACCATTAGGGACTAGCAGCATGGAACAGAGATGGGGAGCGGCCTCAGACAGGAAAGCGAGCTCGAACTGCCTGGCCTCTAGAACGTCACTGCCAAGAGCAACCACACCCTCGAGGGCCGGAGGGCAGGCAGGGTCAGAGACCAGAGCGGTGGCGTAGTCTAGGCGGCGGGTAGCGGCGAAGTCAGTGACAGCAGCGACAAGAGCCGACAGACTCAAGACAGGAAAGGACGGGTCGGTAACGAGAGAGGCAAGGACTCAAGGAACAAGGGGACGCGCAGCATGGAGGAAGTCCGAGAACGGAGGCGGGGCCACAGCAAGCGATGACGGAAGAGGAGACGGGAGGAGAGGAGGAGCACGAGATGCGTGAGAGCGAAGCAACATAGGGTGAGAACGCAGAACAGGGGAGGTAGGACGAGCACGAGACGGACGACGATACAAGACGTGAGACGGAGGAGTCGGGTCAGGAGAGATGGGAGGAGACACAAGAGGAGAATGGGGAGGGAAACGAGCCGGAGAGGAGTCCGGGGGAGGAAACACGGGGCCGTGGACTGGCAGAGGAGGAGGCGGCGGTAGCGGGGGAGGCAGCGACGGGCGGTCAGGGGAAGGGAGACCGAGGAGGCGAAGAGCGGACACCGGCGGCGACAGCTGCGACTGCTGCCCGACTCCAACACCAGAACCTCCAGCGACAACACGGCTCCCTCTGAGAAGCCCCACGCCAGCACCCCCAGAGCCTGCTCCAGAACCAGCTTCAGCTCGCTCCCCAGCACCCCCAGAATGCACGAACCCCAGCGGCAGTGACGACGGCGGCTGCGGCTGCGGCGGCAGGGGTGGAAGCAGCTGCGGCGGGGACAGCAGCAGCAGCGACAGGGGAGGCGAGACCGCGACAGGGACAGGCGGGGGAAGAGACTCCGCTGAGCCGCGAGAGTCAGCGGACTCCTCAACAGGGACAACCGACGGGAGAGGGGTGACGTGAGACACACCAGACAGGGCAGAGCGGGGAGGGGGTGGACAGGGTCGACCGGGGGAGGGGTGGGCACATGGAACTGGGGGGGAGTGACTTGGGGACCACGGTGCGGAAAGCGGTGGTAGAAGGAGACGGGCTTGTCAAAAGTGACGTCACAAGAGTGAAAGAACTGATGAGAAGGCGGGTGGTAGAACTGCCAGTCCGACGAGTCGAGGGGGAAACCTAGGAAGGCACAGGGGACAAGCGGGCAATGAGCTTGTCCGTGCTAGAGGCACGAACGTGAGCAAGGCAGCCCCAGACGTGGAACGCAGGCGCGTCACCAGGGACCCGGTCCAGAGGAGGGTCGGCGAAACTTGCGACCGCTGAGGGTGCGGCCAAAGGTTAAGCTGGTGAGCAGCGTAGCGAATGGCGAACGGCCACAGAAAATGGGGTGCACCGGCATGGATCATGGAGGTACGAGCAACCTCCATGACCAAACCGATGCGTCGCTCAGCGACCCCATTCTGCTGCGGGGAGTCCGTCAGGGTGAACGTCTGGGTGATACCCTCCGCACGACAGAAGCGACAAAGGCAGCTAGGGGCAAACTTGCCATAACGGTCGAAGTGAACACGCGCAGAGACAAGCCACGGGAGAAGAACGCTAGGCATGTCGGCCTTCCGCTCCAGGGGAAAGACGGTGGTGTAGCGGGTGTAGTTGTCGACAAGCACTAGGAAGTAGCGCTCGCGACGCGGCCCATGGACGGGGGGGGAGCCGCAGATGTCCATGTGCAAGGTCTGCAGCGGTGCGGAGGTAGAGGGGAATGAGGAGGAGTGAGGAGCACGGCGGAGCCGGCCCTCGACATAGGGTGTGCACGGAGGTGCGGATGAGGAGGGGAGCTTAGGGAATGACTAAGGGAGGCCTAGGACAAGACGGTGCTAGGACATGTGACGGAGACGGGTGATGGCGGGGTGACCTAGATGGTGGTGCCACAGAAGTGACGGGTGAGTAAACGACCGACACGAGCACGCCGCAGCAACTTGGGAAGATGTAGGCACTTGGGGAGGCGACCCAACCGGGGGGAAGCGGTGTCCAGCGTGAACAGGCCAGACACCGGGTCCCAGGGGAACGTGGTGAGGGGGGCACCAGTGGCGGCCTCAGTACAAACAGCGTACCGCTCGTGCCCAGGGAACGTAGTGGTGACGCCAAGGTCCTGGAGGCAGCCGACACCAACTAGGTTCCTAGAGAACGAGGGGATGTGCAGGCCTGTAAGGGAGCCTGAGGGAACCGCCAGATAAGGGAGAGTAGTGGAGCTACGGGCAACTACAGGACCAGAGGAAGGGTCTGCAAGAGCAACTGCAGCAGGAGCGGCAAGCGGCGTAAGCGTCGTGGAGTCGCGAAAGAAACACTGGGAAGCGCCGGAGTCCAGGGTGAAGGAGAGCGCGGCAGCGGCGACAGAGGTCGGAGGAGCAAGGGAGGACCCTAAGCTAAACAAGGCAGGGGGTCCTACGCCTGACGCAGCAGGGGAGCCTGAACTAGGCACACTGGGCACACCTACGCTAGGCAACACAGGGTAATAGGAACTAGACACACTAGAGTCATCAACATACAGCGCATACAAAGCAGAGCTAATCTCATCCATGTCCATTTCAAAGATCTGAACACGACGACGGAGCAGACTGTGCCAGTCGGGGAGGTCAGGCAACGGGCCGAAGTGGAGACGAAATAGGTCTCTAGGCGACGAAAGCAACGAGTGGGGGTATGGCCGATCTTACCGCACACGAGTCCGCGGCGAGGACCGGTCTGGAGCTGGTACTGGCAGCGCCCGTCACTCTGACTACCACCCGACGACACGCCGCGCGAGCGACCACTGCGACCACCGTCACCTCCAGCTCGAGGCCACCCGGGCGGGAGACGGCTGACCCTCCGCTGCTGCTGTTGCTGCGCCTGTTGCTGGGGCTGCTGCTCCGGGGCACCAGCCCCAGCCCCCTCGTCA